TAATTAAGAGAAATTATACACTTACGTGACTTGAAAGAAATGAATGGATATTCATAATAATACTTCTGTACATAATTGCTTTCGATGAAAAACTGAATTTTCTATTCTATCTACCAACATTTTTTTACGAAGTTTTATCATAAGTATCTTCTATGTGATGTTAATCAATATAATTCTTAATTTAGTATATTAAACTACATTAACTAGGAGGATCTAGTTTTATCCAAAAATGTTTATATATTTCGATTCTTTAATAGATCTTATTATTGTAAATAAAAAGAAAAATCTTTTTGTTAATAATACTCGAATGACGACAAATGTGAGAAAATATTAACGTGTTGTATCATATGAGTAAAGTTAAATTAAACCAAATAAAAAGCGAGTTGATTTCTTTTTTACTTTATCTTGAAGCAGGTCTTCCTATATTATTAATTAAAGGAAAAAAATGATGTATACGTTTTATTAACAGTTTTTCTAATTCATAGTATTAGATTTAGTTACTTGAGAGATTTGTATGCTCGGTAGTGAATAACTTACCAGGATCTTTTTATTTATCATTACTAAAATAAATGTCTAAATATAAGTTAAAAGCACTGAAATGATCATTAATGTTAATATGATAGACTTCTTAACATAATAAAAATAGTTGTTAAATAGAATAGACATTTTTTATCGATTGTTGAAAAAGTTTATCATGCAGTATTGTTACAGTAGATTTGAGAAAAAAAAGTTAGTCTACTCACTATTACCTCTACTCATTCATTTTGTTTCTTATTTTACCTTTCTTTTAGGTTCTACTTCTGCAAAATAAAAAAATGCAACCACATATAAGCGTATAAGTGATATACCTTTTTCGAATCAAATATGTTAATTTAACGTTCAAAAAATAACATCTTCAAACATTCTGTTTCATTTTGTTAAATCTTTGGTGCTATTTTTATGAGTATGATAAAACTATAATACAATCATTGCACCGACATTTTCACTTTTGTAATCTTTCTATTTTAATCTTGATTTAGAATAAAAATAAATAAAAATTCATTGATTAAAAATCAACATAAAATCATTATATGACAACAAATGTTGCTCTCATGTTAATTTTTAATCAATAAATTTTTATTTATTTTCACTTTTACAATTTTTATATTTTAATCTTGCTTTTTAATAAAATTTGTCGACTGAAAATCAATATGAGAGCAACTTTTTCTGTCTTATCTTGATTTCACTATAATGATTGTTAGGGTTATCATTGCTTCTATTCTAAGAAGCAAATATATGTCATTAATAGTTATATAACTGAAATTTTTGCATAATATTTAATGTACTATCATTAAACTGAATCCATTAATTATTGTCTTTATTACTGGAACATAAACAATCATATTCCCCTACCTAAAATACATGACACATCTTATTTTTGCTATTATTTCTGTTTAACTCATTCAATTGATCTTATATTTATACCAAAGACACATTTCTTGAAGGTGTGGGTGCGGATATTCTATTTCATCCACACTTCACCCACATCCTTTTTCATTCTGCTTGTGAATCTCTGAATATCAATCCATAAACCTGCTAACCAAACATTCAGTAGCATAAGAAACTCAATTAAATGTTCAATAAAAATAACAATTAGTTGAAAAAGTCAATACTTCGATGCTGATCATGATTCTGATTGAAGTACACATATATAACACCTTCATCAATATCATTAAAATCGTTTTTTGTGCTTGGGATAGTGTTGTTATATTGTAAAACTCCGTCAAGATCAAGACATACTGTAATATGAATGAAAGATAATATTAATAATAAAACAGCTATTTCAACAGTTGTTGCATATGCAACACTCTTTTCCGATTTAACATATAATTAAAACGATCAATAAATACTACTCTTTAGAGTTGACTTGATATCCATTGATAACATTCTCATTGTAATGTTTACTCTTTCAATCGATATTTAATTTTTTTTCTTGAACTGATAGAAAAATGAACTGAATGAAATAGAAAATATTTCGTATTGAATTGTAAACATGATTATGTGTTTGAAAGATGATTTCTCATTAATAGATTTGTTGATCTTCATTTTTTTTTCTATCAAAAGGTACTAAAGGATAGTTGTTTTTCTTCTCTTTCGAAGCGTATGTAACCGATTCTTATGACATTTTTGTAAATATTAAAGTCGTGATAGAATGAATAAAAAAGACATATTTTCCTTCGTATCAATGGTTATATATAAGAAAGACATCAAACGATTACAAATTCTTAAAATATGATTATATAGGTTAAATAAATTTCTAGCTAATACATTTTATTTGAGATGTGAAACAGTAGCTGCTTATATAACATGTTAGCAAAGGACTGAATGGAATAACCCAAACGGATCTCATATATTGCTGAAAAACCCCACGAAGGAGAGAGAGAACGAACATATGAATAATACCTATACTCTGATTCATCTTACGATACATTGTAAATACGTACCATAAGACCTTCCATAAGTTGTTCAAACGATTTTCAATTCTTTATAGTTGAATATGCTCAATAAAATTTGTTTTTGAATAAGAGAAAATTTATAAATGAAATAAAACCAATTGTATTATTTATTTTTAAGCAAATATCTTTTACTGAAAATCAATAATGAAATTCATCAGATGTTATCCATCATATTTTAGTTATAAGCATAGAAGAATTTGATGAAATTTTTATATATGGAATATGCTTTTGAATTCCTCAATTGAAGAACATTGTAAAGAAAGTATTATAAGAAACTCAAGTGCTCTCTATTTATACATAATATTACCTGGAATAATATTCTATTAATATTCTGATCGATATATATTATCGATTGACTGTAAAAACGCTGAAAGAAAAAAAGTCGATGCAAAATATATCGAAAAATAAATATCGAAGTCATTTTGGTCGAAAATTTCTGAATGTTATCATCAAACTATTGATCTTCTCGTCTTAATATTATTCACTAAACTTTCACTGATTAGTAAGTCATTTGATCTAATAAATTATTGTGTAAGCAAATGCTCTAGAACAACGAGAAACTGAGATAACAAGGGTATGGGTATGGTTTTGTATTCTTCTGCCACTCACATCCTCAAAACTTTCCTGTCTAACAAAAAGTTTTAAATCTTATTCTTTCGATGCTGTTTTACTTCGACATATTTTTTTCAACATTTATTTTTCGACGTTCATGGCGTCGACATTTTTTCTTTCGGTCTTTTTACAGCATACCATAGTATCTTGATCATCACATTTTTTTATATCATAAAACAGCTTCAAAATAGAATAGTTTTGATTTATATTTCTTTTTTTGACTTAACACAATAATACAAGATAGTTTTCATAGTAACACATATGTATATAGTTTATTATATGTACCTTGAACTCTATACAAACACACATTCAGGGTATGTTAAAACATTGAATACTAATATGTTTCCATACGTGCAATGCGTGCATACATACATATGTTCATATTAAATTATAAATCCTTTCCATATCGATAGATATAACATATTTTATATTTTCGTTGAAAATGACATAAAACATATGTAGTGATTGTATAGGTCATAGATTTGACATATACTGTCTTGAATATATTGTAATTATAAAAGAATAATCTCGTTTATTTTAGTTATTATACAGCACGTTGTTCTTTTCAACTAAATTAGTTTTTGTTCTTAATCTCTTACCTCAAGAAATTTCATTAATATTGTATGTTACGTTTCAACTTCCTTCTATTTTTTTTTCGTTCCCGTTATACAGTAGATATTATATTTTTTTGTTTATTGATATACTGTTACGCTTAAATGGATTATTCATTGATATGAAGGCCTATTATTTTAAAGATATTACCATCCTACTAGTAGTAAATATATTTCTTCAATTTATGTAGAAAATGATGAAATTCTTTATATTGTGTCTTATACTTTTTTAATCAATAAATGCATTTGTGTAACAGAGCGAAAATAATATTTTATGATATTTATTAGTCACAAAAGCATTTAATATAAGAGAAACTTGAAGAAATGTCGTATTTGATCAATTAGCTGGAAAAACACTTGTAAATAAAAATTGCTTAGTAATTTAAATATTTTAAATGAATTATTTATGATAAATGATTAGATATAATTGATTAATCCTTTGAGTCCCGACTTTTTTTTCGCAAAATTTCGAATTTTTCATAAGAAACTAAAATATAATCTTTATTTCTTTACAAAACAATTATATTTTTGTGTCAAAGATTATTAGTAGTTCATTTTGATATGGTAGTTCTTGAAGCAATCAACAATACATAGAAGTACATTGCAATCGGAACAAATATAACGTGAATTACGTAGAATATTGTGGTATGTGCAAACGATGTATTTTTTTAGAGGATGTTTTGATTGCAATGTTTGTAGAATAAGTAAAGAGAAATGTTAAGCGGTCAGACGAGTAGAAGAATCTTGTGTAAACGGTCTTTCATTAATAGTCCGCACTTTGCCAAAACTCTTCTAATTATTTCGAGTCGAAAATCAAGCAGGTAGAAAGAAATATTATTATGCATTTTGTAAATAATAAATATATTGTATACTACCATATCCCAAATACGAAAAAAAACTGATTTTATCGAAGTGCATTAAAGCAAACACATGTGTGCGTTGTCATACAGAGCGAAGGAAAACGGACAGAGCATATATATGTAATATTGACAAGTAGATAGGAAGGAAAGAAGGATTATATTGGTGTAATATCACTTAATAAACAATAAAAAGATGTTCTAAACAATTAAAGAATATACTACAGAGGTCTTTACCAAAATAGATGGTATCCGAGTTTCGCTCGACTACGAAATGCGATGCGAAGCAGGAAATCAAACGGTGAAAAAAAACCACCAAAAGAATATTCACGATGAATAACTATTTGATCAGTATTTCATTATATATAAACAGAGCCTTTTTGTAGATAAAACAGGGTACTTTATTGGTGACAAATTTTAACACAATGGTTCTTTCAACACTAATGTTAATGAATATTTGTATGTTATCTCTTTATGAAACGGCTTCGGTTAATTTATATCAAGAACAAATAGGTAATTCATAATTTTTTTTACTTAATCATATATATATACAAATTCTATTTATATTATAGGAAAGCAAGATACTCTTCAGTCAGATTTACTATTTAATTGTTCAGGATTTAAAACTGGCGATGATATTCTACAATCATTTCCATTTAAAGTTGAACTTAACCCAATCATACGAAGTCCTGAAATAACATATGGGTTATTAGATGACAATAAAAATATTTATTTTTTAAATATTTTTAATGAAATCTATTTTCCATCTTCTGGCTTTTGTTTTAAACATTTAAAACAACTTTATGTGCGAAAATCAAGTTTTCAAGACGAAAATAATACAATATCAGGAGAAATCCAATACCTTGCACCTACGCTAATCGATCTAGGTATTTATGATACTATCATTACTCATTTGCCATATGAAATAAGTAAATTAGAAAAATTACAAACAATCAAATTTTCGAATACTGGCCTGAAGATTCTTCCAGAATTTATTGGTAATCTTTCATCATTACAATTTTTGTCTTTAAGAAATAACATGTTAACATCATTACCAACAACTATTCTTAATAATCAGTTATTACGACAAATTGAATTAGGTAATAATCCAAATCTTAATTCCATACAATCACTCAATGGCCATCAATCTGTAAAATATATAGAAGCAAATAATTGTTCAATTGAAAATCTTCCTGTTAATTTATTTCAACTAACTGATTTATATATGTCGAATAATAAATTAAAAAATCTTAGAAATATTCAAACGTTAGGTCATGTAACAAATGCTAAAAAATATTTTTATTTTGGTCAGAACCATATTCAATCTATTACACCACAAATTCGGTATGTCAAGAATCTTTATTTTCTCAATCTTGATGGAAATCAATTGAATAATATGCCATCGAGTATTCTTTATATGAATACACTTCGTTATTTATATATTCAAAACAATCATTTTGGTAATACTGAATTGGTAACAATTATTTCTAAGTTTAAAACTACAAATCCATCTCTAAAAATATTCTACAAGGATCAAATAACTTCGCGAATAAAGATCTGATTAATAAACTGATGTTATGATCTTGCTAATGTGATCTATTATTTTATAGCAAATTATTTTAATTTGTTCTGTTTTATACAATTATTTATATTTTATATTTTAAAAGATACAAAATAATAAAATGATTCAACATTAAACACAATTCATTTATACTGAGAACAGATCAAGATAGAATTGATTTTATCTTATAATATGTTTGAAATTAAATTTCAACAGAGTCAATATTTAAATTATTAATATGTAATAAACAATTTTAAATTAATGATGACCTCTTCAAGTCTTTACTCTGCTGAAAAGTATTTGCAATTCAAATTCCAATATCGACATGAAACAATTGAATCGATGTTCGATTAGTTTGAATATTTGTTCTGCGGATGATTACAACAACTGAAATTATTTAATATATAGTTCGTTCTCATATATAAATTATCTATAAGAACAGCATAAGAAGTGAATTAGTTAGAGAATAATAGTGCGCAGGATTATTTACTTTCGTAATAAAATAAAGATGTGCAATGATTTGTTTAAATCTTGTTTTTCTTTTGTAATCATTCGAAAATGCTTATATTTATCTTCTATATTATTAGAAGTCGATGAAATAATGTAATAATTTTGTTATTCTATTAATTTAGATAAATGGACAAAAATATATACTATATATATATTTAATAGAGTTTTATTTCTCTAAAGAAAATGAAATAGCAGTGATACCTACAGTGAGACAGGAAACACTATGTGTTGTTTATCTAAGAGTAAATGATATGAAATCTCTTCTATCATTGAATGCGTTGTAAAGTTAATAGAAAATTTTTCGAATGCCTATTATATAATTCATATACCAAAAATAATCGATCAAAAACTTGTCTTAAATTCAAGCCAAGTTAAATTTATTCCAGTCAACTTGTTTTTCTCAAATTTATATAACAGATCATATTCACATTGCATTCAGTTTATTTTTGAATTATTTCTAGGATATATTTTCGAACTGTGCAATTTAATTTATTCTAAAGCATGAATTTTAAATGTATGAATAGGTTAAAAAAAAGAACTTGAATAGACGACTAATTTCATATATGTATAAATAGTCATCGAGCTCCATGGCAAGAAGGATATAAACGAATGCGCTGAATATGGAGATCAAAAAGATTCAAATCTCATACCGATCTACTAAGTAAAGAGTTTATGTGGATACTGACCCATAGTACAGCTGACTCGGTAGCGTGTGTCAACAAAGAAGAATTATTGCATTTTGCCCAATATCCAGAATATTACTAACATAACTGACAATCATTTACTACAATATCGGATGTAGGTCACGCTGACAACTAGAAGGTATTCGAGTTGTACTCGACTACGAAATGCGATGCGAATAGCAGAATTTCGAAATAACGATTTTAACATTTTCACAATATTATCTAGATGATTCATTATCTATTGTCAGCTGCACTGTCAGCTGTAAAACAGTTGTTAACCCTTTACGACCGACGGTCCCTTCCAGAGGACATTACAAAAAGGAATTTAAAAAAATATAACGGCACTCAGTTCCAACAACGGATGGTTTTTCAGATTAAGGTAGTTTGATAGTCTATTGGCTAGCAAACCAAACCTTTTAAACTAACATCTAAAAAAAATAGTTAAATTTTTAAAACTCAGATTTTTTTACAGTCAGCAATTTTTTTTGAAGATATAGTCTATTGGTGGATACGATACGCATCTTTCTGTTTGTCAGTTTTATCGATCAGTACTGTTACCGAGTATCTTATGAGACCAGGCTTTAAATTTTAACATGATTTGTCGGTGAGATATGGTGCTCAAAAAGATATGTCCCTTGGAAGGGACATTCGGCTGTAACGGCATGAAATACTGTATCAATGTAGAGGGTGTGGATGAGTGTGAGTGTGGCGTTTGTGGTTATATGTGGGTGTGGGTGTATGTGAGAGTGTAGCTGTGAGTATGGCTGCTCTCTTTCGATCAACAAGGGACACCCATACCCGCATCACCACCGACATCCACACCCACACCCGACATCCACGTACACACCGCACCACACTCTAGTCATATTCTTACCCACACCTACTGTATAAAATCTAAGGTTCATTTATGTCTCAGTTTAAGTCGAGACTGTTCTACAAAATTTCATGCTCAGAAATAGTTAAATATTGTATATTGAACTGATGAATATTTCTTTGCACAAAATGTATTTTCTTCTTTGTTATATAGAAAAAAAGTATTAAAATATGTGTATGTTGAACAATCTATTATGATAAGAGTAAAATAAATAGAATTACTTATATAGACAGAATCTGTTTCGGTTAAAAAAATTAATAAATTTATGCCGTTAAGGCCGAATGTCCCTTCCAAGGGACATAGCGTATCTCTTAAAGAAAAATAAACTAATTTTTTTCACCGGTAGTATGAGCATACGGAGGGTCCATAACCTCTATTCTTCTCATCAGCTTCACCCTGTGATAAAAAAAAAGTCCCTCGGTCGTAAAGGGTTAAAGAAAAATGGCGCCTAACTTTTACTTTTACTTTTCGTTTTAATTATCTCGAAATTTGAAAAAGTCAAAATCGTGTTTTTGTGACGCTTCCTGTAGACGAACTAAACGTCTTGTTGAAAATCGGAAAACGAATGATATCAGTTCGATCTCGATATTTTATTCTTGCGTTTAAACGAGTATTTTCTGATGTTCCATTGCTGAGAAAATGGTGACACAAAATGACCATTTTGATGCGTACGTCGAGAAAGAAAGAAAAAAAGCAAGAAAACTCGCGCAGGACTACATAAATGCTTCTGCTATTCGCATCGCATTAAAAAGCAAGAAAACTCGCGCAGGACTACATAAATGCTTCTGCTATTCGCATCGCATTAAAAAGAAAACTCGCCGACAACTACATAAATGCTTCTGCTATTCGCATCGCATTAAAGATGCATAAACACAATGCATTCTTCCCACTCTCTCCTTGTGGATATTTTAACTCGTACCATAGATATAACATAACCACTCTTTTTCTTGTTCTTTTTTATCATTATGCTTCTGTCCTGTTGTTTTTTTATCTTTTCTCTCTCTCTCTTCCCTTCTTTTATAATCAATGAACACCAAATAAGTACTAACAATCGTTCCTCTGGAACCAACATGGTCAAAGGGAAGAACCAAGTTAATAAAAAAATTGCTTTAAATTTTATAAAACTTATGACTATATATTATTATAGTTACCGACAAAGTTTCATTTTCAGTTTTACCTATATTAAATATCCATTTGATAATTATTATAGTATACATGTGATGAAATATCTGAAAAAACTTGCTAAGTCTTTCGATGGCTATCATTTGTCAGTTCGAAAAGACATTTTCTATCGATTATGACAATAGGTTTTGAGACAAAAATACTTAATTTACTCATTATTACCTCTACTTATTCGGTTTTTTTCTTATTTTATCTTTCTTTTAGGTTCTGGTTCTACAAAATCGAATATCACAGCTACATATAAGGGTTTAAGTGATATACCTTTTTCAAATCAAATGTGTTAATTTAACGTTGAAAACTAACATCTTCAAACATTCTTTTTAATTTTTCTGAATCTCTATTGCTACTTTTATGACCATGATAAATCCTAAATAAAATTATTCTACTAACATTCTCACTTTTACAATCTTCATATTTTGATCTTGTTTTTAAATAAAAATTTATCAATTAAAAATCAACATGAGAGCAATTTTTTCTTTCATATATTGAGTCCACTATAATGATTGTTGGAGTTATTTCTGCATCCATTCTAAAAACCAAATACATGTCATTATTGGTTATATAACTTAAATTTTTCATAATATCAGATGTATTATCATTAAACTAAATCCTTTAAATATTGTCTTTGTCACTGAAACATAAACAATTATATCCCCCTAGCTAAAATACATGACACATCTTGTCTTTTGAATTATTTCTTTTTAACTCATTCACTTGATTTTATATTTATATCAAAGATGCATTTTTTATTAATTGACTAACTCAAAACAGGGTGTGGTATTCTATTTCATCCATACTTCACCCACATCCTTTTGCATTCTGTTTATGAATCTTTGAATACCAATCCATAAGTCTGCTAACCAAACATTAATTAGCATAAGAAACTCAATGAAAATTTTAATACAAAATAACAATTAATTCAAATAGTCAATGCTCTGACGCTGATCATGATTATGATTGAAGTACACGTGTACAACACATTCATCAATATCATCAAAATTGTTTTTTGTGCTTGAGATAGTGTTGTTTTATGGAAAACCCCATCACCATCAAGACATTCTGTCGTATGAATAAAAGATGATATTAATAATAAAACAACTATTTTAACAGTTCTTGTTTCTGCAAAACTCTCTTTTGATTTAATACACTCAATTTATTCTTAATTTATAAAATAAAATAAAATGCATATATAGATATATTGTAGCTGATGATAGATAACAAATTATACATATAATTACAAGAATCAATAAATACTACTCTTCAGAGTTGACTTGATATCCATTCATAACATTCTCATTATAATGTCTACTCTTTCAATCGATATATAATATTTTTTGTTGTACTGATAGAAAAATGAACTGAATGAAATAAAAAATATTTCGTATAGAATTGTAAACATGATTATGTGTTTGAAAGATGATTTCTCATATAATATATTTCTCGATCTTCATTTTTTCTATCAAAAGATACTAAAGGATAGCTGCTTTTCTTCTCTTTCAAAGCGTGTGTAACCCATTCTTATGACATTTTGTAAATATTAAAGTCGTGATAGAATGAATGAAAAAGACATTTTTTCCTTCGCATCAATGGTTATATATAATAAAGATATCAAACGCTTACAAATTCTTAAAATCTAATTGTATAGGTTAAACAAATTTCTAGCTAATACATATAATGATGACTGATACAAAATCTAGCAAACGTCTGCTATTTTTGTATATTAATGATAAATAATCAAAAGTTCTTATACTACTTTACAAATCGCCTAATATGTGTGCTATCTACAAACATTTTATAAATGCCTTTTCTATATTTATGTGTTCTGAATGAATACTAGTGATACCTATATGAAGAAACCAATAGACAAAATAATAGTTTGCAAGATTTTCAATCAATTTGATTTTACATGTAGTTTGTTATTCATTCGTTCTTTTCTTCTTGATATTTCATTAAAGGGGCGTTACTTTATCTTTACTTTATTTTTTATTATGAAGTAAAATAGCGATTAAATTTTTTTTTACTTTATTATTCATTATAAAGTAATATAAAGATAAAGGTTTTTTTTCACTTTATTCTTTACTGTAAAGAAAAATAAAGATAAGATTCTTTTTCAACTTTATTCTTTAACGTAAATAAAGTTAGCACCATATTCGAGTGTTTTTTGTCCGGATTCGCCAAACAACGTGTGCTGGCTCTACAAATGAATGTATTAGATGCAGGGTTTAATTATCTATCGAACGGTGTAAGTCTTGGTGGGGGTCACCGTGCAAAAAACGGAGTTTCTCACCGATTTTTTGTACATGAAAATTTTATATTCCTTGTGCTGTGTCTAAAAATATATTATTATCTACAAAAAATCGGTAAAAAACTCCGTTTTTTGCACGGTGACCTCTACCAAAATTGGTACCATTCGACAGAGAATTCAAATCTGAATAGAACACAACCATTTATGGAGCCAGTACAAGTTTTTAGGCGAGTTCGAACAAAAAATACTCGAATTTGATGCTAACTTTACTCACGCCATTTTAACCCAGCAGCCCTGACCCACAACCTCAATTATGGGTGAGCAGGCTGAGCCACTACTCATGCCCTATCTAGGTTACGCTACTGTTTTGTAACAAATCATTAAAAAAAAACTACGTCGTTAATAAATAATATTTTTTACAATTTACATTATTCTGATAATATCTGAATATAGAATACAAACAACGTTAACAATCAAGGTTGTCAGATCAATCACCTCAACCAGCAGAAATGCTACCATTACATGATCAAGTAGTTCAAGATCAAGAAGAAGATAAAAGTGTTTCACAAACTTGTAAGCTAATTCTAAGTAGTCATTTGAGATTTATTTCCATTCTATTATATATACATAGTTTTACAACAGATAAATAATGATGGTAATTATCAAAACATTGTCAATAGTAATAATACAAATATTAATCCATTAATAATCACTATTGAAAATAAAAATCTTTTATCTTCAAAATCGAAAGAAATTCAACCATCTTTTCATGAGTCATTTCGAATAAATAAACAATCCCTAATTATTATTATTTTACCAATTCTTATATTTGGAATATTAATGTTAATTTCGATTATTAAAATTACTGATGTTTATAAATCAGATTTAAAAATAAAATATGATTATATGTTAGAAGAACAAAAGAAAAATAACAAAACAATTCAATCATTAAATGAAACTATATTAGAAAAAAATCAACAACTTCAACAAGTCAACGATCAATTGACACTACTAAACAAAAAGAAATGTAAGATAAGAAAAATGATTTAGTAGTTAAAATTCTTATTAAATTATTTTAGATAATTCATTAGTTATTGAAGGTCGTGAATTTGGTAGTGCACATGGTACTCATTTTGATGATTCATTACATCCGCATTTTACAAGTTCACATTATCTAAATGGAATAATTGCTCGTGATAATGATGATGACTTAGAATCCTATCAATTTTATTATCCATCTTCGTCTGATAATCAAGATATGTTCATATCAGAGAGGCATGGAAAGCAAAATTCATCTTTTAAAAAAGATTTTCAATTTGAAAATTATGAAAAAATACAACGAGTTGAAGGACAATACTTGAATAAAACCATTGCTTTTTCAAACGGTACAAACTTAACATTGCCAATAATAACAGGACTTCAATTTTACACAACAAAAGAACATGCTAGTCCATCATATGCTGGTGAAGAAGGAGAAATGTTTGAGGAAGAATATGAGGAATATACATTATGGTATGTCACTGGAAGATCAGATCAATATATTTATCAATTACAATTCTATTGGTATCGAACATCAGACATTGATTAGAGTTATTCTATTCATGTATATACACTTCTTCATAAAATAGTTGTTCGGCAATTCAGTAAAGTAAACAGTTATTGTATAAATCATTGAAAATAGATTATGTTAATTTGTTCTGTTTTAAACAATTATTTATATTTTATTCTTTAAAAGATACAAAATAATAAAACCATGCAATATTAAACACAATTCATATATACTAAGAACAAATCAAGATAGAATGTGATAAACAATCTAAATTAATAATGATCTTTTCAAGTCTTTACTCTGTTCAAAAAGTATTTGCAATTCAAATTACAATATCGATATGAAACAATTGAATCGATGTTCGATTAGTTTGAATATTTGTTCTGCGGATGATTACAACAGTTTAAATTATTTAATATATAGTTCGTTTCCATACATAAATGATCTATAAGAACAGCATAAGAGTTGAATCAGTTAGAGAATAATAGTGCGCAGGATCATTTACTTTCATAATAAAATAAATATGTGCAATGATTTGTTAAAATCTTGTTTTTCTTTTGTAATCACTCAAAAATGCTTATATTTATCTTCTATATTATTGGAAGTCGATAATATAGTGTAATAATTTTCTTATTCTATTAACTTAGATAAACGGACAAAAATATATAATTTATATATGTAATAGAGTTTTATTTCTCTAAAGAAAATGAAATAACAATAATACATATAGTAAGAGAGGAAACACTATGTGCTGTTTATCTAAGAGTAAATAATATGAAATCTCTTCTAGCATTGAATGCGATGTAAAGTTAAAAGAAAATTTTTCGAATGCTTTTTATATAATTCATATACCAAAAATAATCGATCAAAAACTTGTCTTAAATTCAAGCCAAGTTAAATTTATTGTAGTTAACTTGTTTTTCTCAAATTTATATAACAGATCATATTCACATTGCATTCAGTTTATTTTTGAATTATTTCTAAGATATATTTTCGAACTGTGCAATTAAATTTATTCTTAAGAATGAATTTTAAATGTATGAATAGGTTAAAAGAATTGGTTGTATATGGAAATCAAGAAGATTCAAATCTCATACCGATGTACTAGGTACAGCGTTTATGTAGATACTGACGCATAGTACAGCTGACTCGATAGCATGTATTAACAAAAAAGAATTACTGCATTTTGCTCAATATTCAGAATATTACTAACATAACTGACAACAATCTACTGCAATATCGCATGTAGGTCACGCTGACAAAAAAAGACGAGCAAGAGAGAAAGAGAGAGGAGAATGTAAAATAATAAAGATATACACAAAACAAAAAGAATTAAAAATAGAAGGACATAAGAGAAGAAAGAGAGCAAGATAAAAAATGAATAAATAAAATGCATTCTTTCCACTCTCTCCTCGTATATATTTTAACTCGTACAATAGATATTACGTTATCACTCTTTTTCTTGTTCTTTTTTATCATTATGCTTCTGTCCTGTTGTTTTTTTATCTTTTCTCTTTCTCTCTCTTCTCTTCTTTTATAATCAATGAACACCAAATAAGTACTAACAATCGTTCCTCTAGGACCGACATGGTCAAAGGGAAGAACCAAGTTAATAAAAAAACTGCTTTAAATTTCATAAAAACTTATGACTATACATCATTATACTTACTGAAAAAGTTTCATTTTCAGTTTTACCTATATTAAATATCCATTTGATAATTATCATAGTATACATGCGATGAAATATCTGACAAAACTTGCGAAGTCTTTCGATGGCTATCATTTGTTCAAACATCGATGCTCAAATATAAGTCATTTTTATTCAAATAAAAACAAAAAAAATTCGCTTCAATATCTATTTTGTTGCACGTCATTCTTTGCATATTGAAATATACCTAACTATATTCTTTTTTATTATAAAGTTATTTCTCACAGTTACTCAAGTAAAAAGGTTTCGAATAATAAATAAATAAATAAATTTAATTAATAACTATTGATAGCATTTATTTTACATCAACATTCTTTTCATATAATTACATCTTGAATAGCGTGAATACGTTTGTCATTATAAAAGATGAAATAATAAATCACATAGATACAAATTATCTAACTATAAGTTAACATATCGTCTTATTTAAATTAACAATTTGTAGTTCAGTCTCTAATATTATCACTAATTGTTTAATGTAATTAAAAGATGGTAATTTTATTGACTACATATATTCATATTTTATCTAATTATCATCGACTGAAGAAGAGCCGAATATACACATACTATTTACAAAATCTACAAAAAATTAGTAGTAATGACTTGTTTCAAAGAAGAAGTATTTTTTTCGAAGATATATTTTATGTTAAGATTGATATGGTGCGCTTTCCATATATGCAGATACCAACATACACCTATAATTAAACAATAATATTAAATTTTAATAAAACTTTTCTTCACTTATTTATATTTCATAGTGAACTTTGACCTCATCGGTTTTGATTTTTATGGTGAACTACGAAGAATGGATTTTTGAAATTCATTTCAGTGAATGGTCCTTTCATCGTATAGATCTAACTACAATGAAAATAATGTTCATTAAGTAACAGGTTGTGAAGAAATTTTTAGAACTTTTACATATTCTCAAAGGTATCAATCGTTTTGTTATAAACATAAAAATATTCTTGTTAAAATTATAAATGAAATTTCTTTTAAAAGAATAAGTCATAATCGAATTCATACTATTCTACAAAGCTAACAAGAACTGTTGAAACATTTTTCATACGGTATGGTTTGGTAGCATATGTCGGTGTTATATTTAATTTTAAATCATATTTTATATATTAAGTTTATACTGTCATAGTTACTGATGGAGATTAAAGAGAGGAAAAGGAGAACAACAAGATAAAACCATACGATTCTCGAACAGAAAACATTATATTAATGAAGAAAATACTGAAAATAGAATTTGTTTAATAAGTAATGTCTCTAATCAAAATTAAATTTAATCTATTTTGATTGATAAGTAATAATGAATAGTAAAGAATTAGAATAGATATAAATACATTTTATACAAATGCAAATCCGTTATCACCATCTCAACTATTTCATATTTATTAGATAAAAATCAAAACAGCTTCTGAGTTATTTCATTTATTCAGTAGAGAAAAAGAAAACCTCTGTCTATATTAGATAAACAAATTTTAAACTAAATAAGTCAACTGAAAATAGAAAGTACTAGATGTGTACAGTTAAAGAATGCCCAACTAAAACTAATACAAATAGTAATCATGAGTTTAATAAAATGATCATCGATCGTAATCATCTAGCTAAAGAAGAAAAAATCAATGCTTTGGTTGTTTCGTGAAAAATTAGAACAACATGCAATTGAAGAAACGATTCTAATTCCTTATACATCGAAGAATGCACGAAGACGTTATTATCAAGCAAACGTGAAATGAGTAAAAGGATTTTTTTGATTAAATTTGCGTTTATTGGTTTATGTAACACTCTAAAGCGTTTAATTACACGGTAGTGATCGAGAAGATATTATTTTACATGTTTTCTACCATAATACATATGTTGTATTAAAAATAAAGAATGATTTAATGATTGACGTGTTCGATATTTTTTCTTTCATTATTTTTTCTGTTTGTCTTTTCTTTTCGCCTTTTTCTTTCTCGATTTCCTACAACATAAAAAAAATACGTCAATGCACGGAACCCAAAAGCGACTTCTAAATATTCATCAAAATATTAGGAATAAAAATTGTGATTTCAAAAATCAGTTTCGTTTAACATCGATTTGGAAAATTATAATATATTTATAATCAAGAAAGAATTTAAAAAAAAACACTTTATCGTGAAGTTGATTGGCTATCTTATTCTATATAAATAGAGCTCCAAAAAGATGGGAGAGTTATTGAGTCATGTAGTGGACGAACGTGGTAGGCGAAAGTGGTAGGCAAATGTCGTAAGCGAATGTGGTAGGCGAATGTGATCTCATCCATGAATCACATCGCCCAATTTACTTTTCTGTCTCTTAAGACCTATATGATTAACTTTATTAATGCAATACGAAGCAAAGCGTTTATGTATTTGGGTTCTCTTTAGGGACAGCGCGAGCAGGGACAGGAGCACCCCTTCATGCTTTTGGAGAAAATGGCTGAATTTTCTCAGATTTTCGAGATGGCTGTCTCTCGTTTGCGATCGATTTACCTTTCTCCCATTTTGCCATTTTGGATTTGAAAACTAGTTGGCAAGTCTACAGCATCTTCTAAAAACTAAACCAAAAACTATTTCGGTTTTGGTTTTTGGATAGTTAAGACAGAAAATTTTTCTAAAATCTATGAACACTCTAGGTGAGAAATTTTTTTTTCCGTTCTGTAATTATTCGTCGTCATGCGTTTAGCCTTTCGCGCTCCCCATTGTTTCTTTTCCTTTTTTTCTTTTTCTCTTTCCTTTTCTTTTGGTAGGTACATTATGTCTAACTGATATCAAATAATCGTGGACGCACATATTCAATGCTGTCATTTTATGGCCCGATTATTTCAGCAATGGAGCATCCGAAAATAGTCGTTTAAACGCGAGATTATTACACTAAGATCGAACTGACACCATTCATTTTTCGATTTTCTTCAGGATGTTTAGCTCGTTTATAAGAAGC